AGCGTACACTTTTGGACATTTATAACTTTATTAAGTATTTCATAAATTGGCGGAAACAGCTTATTGTTTGCGACTGACTATTTTTTGTCTGTTTTTTTTTTTGTTATTGTATGTGTGTGTTTTTTATGGTGCCTGCGTTTGGACGGCACAGCCATTGTCTGCTATTAATTTTCAAGGCAAACTGTCGTCTGCCACTTCAACAAACAAATGGGGCTTTATTTTTTGTGTGTTAGTTAAATGAAATATGTTTTATTACCATCAAGGCGTATGATTAACATTTAATAAAAATGATATTAAACGATATATCTGTGTGGTTGTACATAACATAAAGAAGTGCAATAAAGCAACATACGGTACAAGTAATTTAAGCTCTAAAGAAGAAATATATGTAAGAAGATAGAGACGCAAGTTTGAGAGATATTTTGATTTTTATGCTACTTAAGCGATTTTGTATGAGAAAAAGGAAACAATTTTATTACAGAAAATTTCAGTCGACATCTGCTTGGGCAAACAAGCGGTAGAGGAAGTTAAAATAATTAGATAATTTGATACATTCAAGTTTTTATGGAGCTTATGAACACGTGTTGAATAAAAGGGGAAATCAGGCTTGCCATCACAAAAGTGTGCTGCTATTCGGGTGCAAGGGTAGTAAATTTTTTTTATTTATTTGATCTCTCTTTATTTCTTATATTTATAAGTATTGGCTTCAACAGGTGGACTGAGAGAGAGACAAAAATCGAAGAACATTGCTTTTTTCGACCTGATAAAGGGCGAAAGCCTGGAAAGAAAAGTAGTTTCTCAGTTTCTAATTGTTTTGAAAGCTGATCAGCCGATCACTAATTTCAACCAAAAGCGCTTAAAATCGCCAATCTGGGAAAACTGAAAAATTACTTGTCTGTGTCGACGGCTGTTTGGAAGAGCGTCCTATTTCGGCAGCCGGTTGAAAAACTACTATTTTCAAGAATGCACTATTTCAGAATTCGGTTTAAAAATGCCCTCTATCAACATCGCTTCAATATATTTTCAGTTGAGATAGGGCATTCTTGAACCAGATTCTGAGATGAGGCGTTTTTCAATCCAATTCTCAGATAGAGCGTTCTTAAACTAAATTCTGGAGTAAGGAGTTCTGGAGCCATTTTCTAAGATAAGGCGTTTTCGAACCGGTTGCCGAGATAGATCGATCTTTCACTCAGCAGTCCATATGCAATCCAGACTTTCAGAAAACCTGGGTTTCATGAGTTTCTCAGTGTTATATGTGCAGTTGATGTTATTAATTTGGGTGGTAATATATGGTAAGCGAATGAGCTACCTGGCCAACATTTTATGTCAAAGAAGCAGGCATGTATTTAGTTTTAAAGTATGTTTATAAGAGTATTTTTCTGATCATTACCCTGAAGGAACGGAGAAAGATTTCGCTAAAGAAGCATCGCAATCTAAGTGATCAAAATAAGCTAGTCAAACCTACCTTCAGCAGTGACCAGATCTGACTTAGAGAATTTAGATAAGGACGACTCATTTGTACACGTCATCCGCGATAATTTTTTGTCATCAAAAAAAGTTTGTTTTGATAACTTTTCGGCTACCTTGACCGGTACATACATTTACATATTCGCTTCCTTAGAACGAAACTAAATTCGGTGTAGCCATTTTTGGAAAAAGCTAAAATTTAAAATTTCTCCCATTTTTTCCATTGTATGCGCTTGCCCACTAAATATACATCCGCACACTTAACCTACTTCAGCGGCGACAATATGCTGCATTAAATTCACAAAAAAGGAAACAACTAATACATATACATATTTATGTATATAACAAAAAAAAAAAAACTAAATACAAAACAAGTTATAAAAAGTGAAAAAGTAAAAGCAAAAAAAAAATCATGGCAGCAAGTCAAGTGCGTTGGAAAAATGGCACAACACCAGTGCACCGCGTGACTATCGATATTTGCATAAAAATTCCATGTTTATTATTTATCTGCAAGTAAGCGTATATGCGGCTGTATGCTTGTGTGCGTGTGATTTTATGTGAAAGTGTTGAAAAAGTTAGAAGTTTCGCTCACTGCTGTCACACTTTTTGCCATCTCACATTCATCGTTCTTTTTCATACATATATGTGTGTAATTTTTCTATGTTATGTACAGAAATTCCGGCTTACTTTCTCTGGAAACCATGGTGTCACGAATGGCATTTGAAATGTATTGCTGTACGAGTGCAATGTATCAAATGAATCCGGTGATACGGCACCCAGCATAGAATAAACGCCACGCGAAAATTGATTGCATACTGTAAGGCGCATACACAGCCACGTATGGGATGTATGCGTGTTGTTATTGCATTTTTGAAACGAACGAATGTTGGTTTTTGTTTTTTTTTTGGTTCACCATTGCAGCGGTAAATATGAAGATAGAAGAAAAATGCAAGTAATTAAAATTTATAAATGCATTGTAAATGTTTGTGTAAATGTTTGTGTTTGTGTGCAAGTAAATATGTGTGGCAATTTGTTGAACATACTGACAATGACTGCGAAGAAAATCTATTCTGTGTTCTATTTAAATCAGAAAAAGTGCATAATTAATGAAACGCTACAGTGGCGGCAGGAACAGCAGCAGCAGTGAGCCGGTGGCAATCAAGCAGCAAATGACAAGCATCGCCTCGCTTGCCACAGCCACATTTGCCACACAAGGCCATCAAAGCTGCTGCAGTCACGCGCGCGCTACGCACGTCAAGTGCACATTCGAGTATTCCCTACGTATTGATGAATGTATTTGTGTGCAAATATGTTGTGTGTTTTTTTTTTAATAATTTGTTTTCTCTTTTTTTTTTGTATGCTATGGTTTGGTTTATAAGTGCGACTCGCGCTCGCCCCCACGACGTACTTAAGCGCGACAATTTAAATGCATCTGCTGTGTTGATGACATCCACGTACGCTTGCAGCTCGAATCGGCGTGACGATACGTTGAGATTGTGATTGAGCATTGCGTATTTAAACGCTGATTGCACCTCATCAGTGCCTTGTTCAAATATGGCGCCTGCAATGACAGAGAGCAAAAGAGCAAGAGTATGTCAAATAATTGATTTTATTTTATTTAAACGTGATTTAAAAAATAAGTCATAAATTCAAAAATGCTATTGGAAAGAACTATTTTTTATGCGATTTTAAAATGTAAATTATTTTTTAAGGCACACAGCAAGCATGAACGCCTCTGAAATTCTTCGAATGTCATCGTTCAAGTTCAAGGAAAGTTTGGGGCAGACAGTAAAGGGAAAAGCCGCCAGAATTTTTACACCTCCCTTCTATTTCAGATTTTTTTCGGAAACTTTTCAGATTTACTCTGGACTTGTCGAGATTCTTCGTGTTTTACTTTTTCGACTCTATGAAAAATGTTTATGGGACTGTACGAGATGCTTTCAATTTACCTTTCCTGTGTTTTGTTAAACTTTTTCAGGACTCGGTATTAGATCAAGACTTTTTAGCATTCTTAATACATAAATTTTTTGGAATTTATCCAGGGCTATTCGGGATTTTCGAGTTTCTGAGAGCTTTTAGAATTTTTCGGGAATTACTGTTTTTTTCAGAACTATTCGTGTATTATTTTTTGGTGTTTTTTAGATTTTTAGGACTTGGAAAATTTTGGAATCTTTATGGAATCATCTTTTGGAAATTTTTTTGGCACTTTCTGAATTTTTCAGGACTATTTTTGGAAGCTTTCGTGATGATTCAGAATTTGTTCGGTATTATTTGTCATAAACTTTTCATTATTATCGGGAACCTTTCGGAATTTTTTAATTTGGGTGTTTATTGGACTTTTAAAGCACTTGGGAGCTTTTGAAGTTTTCTCGGGACTTTTTGGATTCTTTCGTAACTTTTAAGGATTATTATTTGTTCTTCTAATTTTGGGATGTTTTGGGAATTATTGGAATGTTTTCTGATTATTCATTCCCAACGGTGGATTTTTAAAGAATTTGGGCGCTTTGGAATTTTATGAGGACTTTGGCATTTTTCGGGACTTTTTGGCATTATTCTTATCCTATTTCTAGGGGTTTTGGGATTTTTCAGGAACTTTTGTACTTTTTCCCGGATTATTCCCCTTAAACTGTTTGGAGTTTTTTATGTTTGGTTTTTTTTTTGAGGACTTTATGGACTCCTTTGGGATTGTTTGAAGTCTTTTTGGGAAATTTTTGTAAGTGCTTTATAATTCTCTGATAAACCGCTGTACATTTGTTTGAAAATAGTTAACGCATATACCAATATCTGGAGACATTTGATTACACAGTGCAAATGCATTTTTTCATCTCTTAAATGTTGTTTTATAGCAAGGATTCTCAGCAATAAATATTCAGTGTGCAAAAAAGAGAGCACATAAATAATTTACCAGACATTTTATTTAAATTTAACATATTTTTCGCCAGTAAAAAGTATAAACACAAATATTTACTATAAACATGTATGTATGTATGCATGCATTTATTTACAGCTAATTATTTTGTGTACTAAAAATGTTCGTTAATCCACCGACTGGTATCAGTAGATTTTATCAATCAGCATTATTTTACGTTCAGTGTCAGATATAAAATATAACCAGCTCTTATTTACTGAACGAAAGCAATGATAGCACACACTTTGCCTGTAATAGCTTCGCTTAAAAAAATTTATACGAATACTTATACCAAACAACAATAACTTATGTACATGTATAACAATATGTATAGTAGCAGCATTTTTTATGAATTCAAGTATTTTAGCTTTATGCGTTATGGGTCGTTGACAATGTTGCCAGCTTTTTTTATGTTCAGATTTGGGTATTCAGATGAAAATATGAGTTGTATGTAAGCTTATGCATAAAATTGAATAGGTGTACTAAATTTTAAGCAATTTTTTAGTGTCAATGATATGAAATAGCACACTTTAGATGACAAGGGCGACAATTTCTTACTTAACTACCTTTATATGGCGTCATGTACAACTGTTTTTCATGCATATATATATATGTATGCATATGTCAACATACATACATATTATATGGGAATTTTCGATATATTTATCACAAATACTTTAGCGCGAAAAATTATTATTTTTTTAAATATTAATATTACACAGCAGATAAATATTCAAAATTAATAAAACTAACATAAATCAGCTCTTTTAATATTTTTTATTTTTTTTTTTTTTTTTCCTAGAAGCAAACTTAATTTTGCCGTCATCGAATATGTATCCATCTACATACATAGGTGCAAGTTGCCAATTGAAACTCTGATTTGAAATATTTTCCAAATAATTTTGCACAGCTAAATAAATTAAATAACCTTCCGAGAAACGCAATATTTTTTATTTTTTATTGTTTATTACTCACTTACGTAGAAAAGTGTTGCTTTTGCCAGAGTTTTTATTTGCTATGTTTGTAACAAATTAATATTTGAAAAATATTTATTCTATAACAACGAATTCATCATAATTTAATTAATTTAATAATTCATGTTAAAATGTAAGCGACTATATTGAAAATATTGCATTTGAAATTATAGGCCATTCTTTTTAGCAGTGGAAAGAGAATGTCTTTTTATATTTGTAAGAAAATATGTAGTGAGTAAAAAATTAGGACGACTACTTTGTGATAAAAACTGCATTTTATGCTGGTAAAAAAAAATTTTAAATATTAGTAAATTTACTTTTCTTTGTATGTTATCAGTAATCCGGAATATTTTCATTAGACTGTCATTAAAACTTCTCTGAAATATATAAATAAAATATTTTATAAAATTAATAATACGAATACCAATTTATAATGGCTATTTACAGTGGGTGTATTAAACTCAAACAATTGGGACATTTGGCATGTAGATAAATATATAAGACCGTACCACCTTACAAGCAAAGCCTAAAGTATTTTTGCAAGGTTATTTAGATATATTTTTTTTTTTGACTAACTTTTGAAGGAGTAAATTTATGATTTTTTTGCGGCTTTCAATTTGACTTAAAAACGATTATGAAATTTCAAAGCTGAAACAATTTTTTTTACTTTGTAATGAATATAGAAAAAAGGGTTTTTATTAGAAGTGGTCGCACCTCGGCAGGCAATGGCAAACCTCCGAGTGTATTTCTGCCATGAAAATCAACTTCTCATTAAAATACACCCAGCGTTCGGAGTTGGCGTACAACTGTAGGTCGCTCCGCTTTGTGTAAGAACATTAAGGCGCACGCGGAGGAGAAGCTCGGCCAAACACTAACATATGGGAATTGCCTACCGCTTGAAAAGACTAAAAGTTTGCTCCTAGAAAGTCTCCTTATCGCAGATTTTTTACTGGGAATTTAAAATTTAAAAAGAAAATATTTCTACTGCATTCTGATAGTTTTGGATTATGCTTTGTTATACAGACAGTTGTGTAAATAAACTATTTATGAAAACAGGAGCGCTGCAGCCGCATTGAATTGCGTTTTTTTTTTCAAAATAGTATGTGCCAGAGTATTTGCCATTTAGTTTTCTATGTTCATTTATTATTTTAACTGCAACGCTAAATTCCACTGCGGCTCATTTCAGTATATTTAATTGTCGGTTAGGGATTTACCTCAGTGTCATTGAAACATCACCGCCTACACAAACAGTTCATCGTTGTAATAATAGAGTAGATACATATACACATACATATGTATGTAGCTAGCGGATCATAATTATTTATTTAAATTAATTTAGGCAAATAAAATAGTTTAAATTTGTTTTCCGTTTGCAAATGACACATGCGGGAGTAAGCCTTTATACGAGCAGCAGTAATTATCAGTGCCCTTGTGTTAAAATACACCATATACATACATACATATGTACATGTGGATGTGGAATGGGCGAACTAATTGAGGGCATGCTTTTAAATAATTTATGTATGTATGTATATTGACATGAATGCATGTAATTAAAGTGGTTTGTTTTAGTTTAGAGCAATTACAGTACTTTTATGAATTCAGATGGGCAATAAATACTATGCCATTTTAAACTTTCATGTCCACCTTATAGCACATCAGTAAATATGTATATATCTTTTTTTTTACTAAGCTTCAGCAATATTTGCAAACCAGCAGTTCGAAATTATTTAGTATGACCATCAAAACATTGGGATCAGCGATGACAACCAGTGGAGAATTCCCCGATTTTGTTGGAGTTTGAATTTCTCGGGCAAAAATTATGAAAATTCTGCAAAGTTTGACCAAAATTTCTAACTTCTTAATCAGTAAATTTAGACAAAATTTTGGTATGCAGTTTTTTAGCCTATTAAATTTTAGTATAATGAAGTGCAAATTATCGTTGAGTTTTGAAAATTTTTTTTGATGACGGTGTCCCGCATTTTTTTCCACACAAATATGTTCCACAATTTTGCTTTACGAAATATACTCACAAGTATTTGTTTTATATATTATTTGAAAAGGCTGTCCTTATTGTGTCATGTGATAATGATATTTGTTGTTTTTTTTAATAAAAATTAAAATGAAGTGCCTTAAATAGCAGAAGTTATTTTGGGGAATACCAATGAAAATAGGAGAATTTTTTCAATAATTTGGGGGAATTAGCCTTTGGGTGCATAAAATTTATCAACTATTATTCATACTTCCTTTAATTTCCATATACTGGACGTTATAGTCGTCTCAAAAATTGCTCTGTTTAATTGCCAAAAAAAATAACACTTTTTGATAAAAAACCGAACATATTTCCGAAACAATTTTTTGTTTTAAGCACTTGTACGAAATGCGCCTTCCAAACAATCAATTGATAACAATAATTTCGGTTTTATCAATAGGTGTATGCATTGTCATTGATTCAACGTTGTATGTATTTTTATTTGCGTACATTACGAAGTTGATTAATTCGCAGAACTCTGCATTTATTATTTATTTATTTACGTCATCGCTGGGACATTAGACAATTCGCTTGATCACAGCATTTGGTGCCTTTTTTTTTAAGTATTAATAACATAAAAGTTAATTTTGTGTTATGAGTAACAGCAGCCGCCAACTGTGCGCTACCAAATGAGCACCAAATA